GGAGGGCTTAAGGGGGGGTTGGCTTAAGGGGAGCTTTAAGGGGGCTTCAAAGGGTTTTAAGGGGGGCTTAAGGGGGGCTTAAGGGGGGCTTAAGGGGAGGCTTAAAGGGGGTTTCAAGGGACGCTTGAAGGGATGCGTGAAGGGGGGCTTCGGGGAGTAGCAGTTGTAGTACTAGTAGTTAGTAGTAGTTGTAGTAGTAGTAGGGGGGCTTAAGGGGGCGCTTAAGGGGGGGGCTTGAATGAGGGATTACGGAGAGGGTTCAAGGGGGGCTTCAAGGTGGCCTTCAAGCTTCCCCTTGAAGCCGCCTTTTGAAGCCCCCTTAAGCCTTCCCTTGAGCCGACCCTTAAGCCCTCTTTGAAGCCACCCCTTAAGCCCACCCTTAAGCCTCCCCTTAAGCCCCCCTTGAAACCCTTTTGAAGCCCCCTTAAGCATCCCCTTAAGCCGACCCTTAAGCCGCCTTTTAAGCACCCCCTTAAGCTCCCCTTTAAGGCTTCCACCCTTCGAAGGGGAGGGGGGGAAGGGAGGGCACCCTTCATGACCCCTTAAGCCCGCCCTTAAGCCCCCCCTTCAAGCCCGCCTTTGACGAAGGGGGTGGGCCCGCCCTCTGTTGGCTGGTGTATTGCCGTTATTGAAGCAGATGGCTTTATTCTGCCTTAAAAAGGTTCTTGACTGTCTTCCGACCTGATGAGTTTTGCACTTTTGACGCTCCAAGCTTCCATTTTCACTTTTAGCATAAGAAACAAGCAATTGTGCGAGAATTCCTTCAATTATAATGTTGAGTGCAGAGCTGACGGCCTCGTACCACTGTGTTCGCGACTTTTCCTGTCCAAAGTGCTGCGCCTGACCCGAAAAAGTGACGCCTGGTCACACAAAGTGCTGCACCTGTCACGCAAAGTCATCTGAGCAAATTTGTAAATCTGATGCACCGAAATAAATGCAACCGCTCTTAGGAAATCAGCACCCTGACCTGCTAACTTCCTAACATCTCTGATGAACATGTCTTCTGTACTGTGCCTGGCCACACAAAAGATCTCTCCTGCCATCGTTTTGAAAATGTTCAAGACCCCCATGTTTTTGCTGACTTTGACAAGGTGCAGGATCCCTTGCACCTGCTAGCTATACAAATAGACGCTTCAATCTCCAAAAAATGGCGCGAACATGTGACGCTTTGCATTTGGACTTTAAAATGGTTTCACACCATAAACGGCGCGCACTTTTTTCCAGCATCTGAACTTCTAAAAGTGCTCGGACACTGAAGTGTTTTGTATTTTGCACATTTGGACTTCGACATGTGCTTCGCGCCGCAACAGTATGCGCTTTTTTTCACATCTCAACTTCCAAAAGTCCAAGAAGGTCTGTCCGCAAGATGACTCCACCCGCCCCCTTTCGCGAGCTTACTTTTCGACCCTCCAGAGCCACATATCAAGGATAAACACGGTGATTCGCGACTTTTCGACCTTTTCGCGCACATCTTCTTTTTTCTCATTCTTTCTATTCTCTGATCTTCCTTCTTCTTCTCTTCTGTTCTCTGACTTTTTCCACCTCTGCTTTTCCATCTGTCCATATCGTCCGAAGTGTGACTTCTCAACTTCCCTCGCCTATTCGTCCCCATCCAGCAACATGACGGGAAATATCTTCAGAAGAAGAAGAAGTAGTAGTAGTAGTAGTAGCAGTAGCAGTAGCAGTAGTAGTAGCAGTAGCAGTAGCAGTAGCAGCAGTAGCAAGTAGTAGTGGTAGTAATAGTAGTAGCATTAGTAGTAGTAGAATTAGCAGTAGTAGTAGTAGTAGTAGCAGCAGCAGCAGCAGCAGTAGTAGTAGTAGTAGCGGTAAAAACAACGTTGTTGTTGTTGTTGTTCTTGTTGTTGTTGTTGTTGATTGTGGTTGTGGTTGTGTTTGTGATTGTGGTTGTAGTAGTAGTGGGAGTGGTGGTAGTAGTAGTGGTGGTGGTGGTAGTAGTAGTACTTACTACTGCTACTACTGCTACTACTGCTACTACTGCTAGTACTAGTAGTACTAGTAGTACTACTAGTAATACTAGTACTACTAGTACTACTAGTACTACTAGTACTACTAGTACTACTAGTACTACCACTACCACCACCACTATACTACTACTATTACTACTACTACTGCTACTACTACTACCACTACTACTACTACCACTACTACTACTACCACTACTACCACTACTACTACTACTCCTCCTGCTACTACTACTTCTGTAGTAGTAGCAGGAGGAGTAGTAGTAGTAGTGGTAGTAGTGGTAGTAGTAGTAGTAGTAGTAGTAGTAGTAGTAGGAGTAGTAGTAGTAGTAGCAGGAGGAGTAGTAGTAGTGGTGGTGGTGGTAGTAGTAGTAGCAGTAGTAGCAGCAGCAGTAGTAGTAGTGGTAGTAGTAGTGGTGGTAGTGGTGGTAGTGGTAGTGGTAGTGGTAGCGGTAGTAGTGGTAGTAGTAGTAGCAGTAGTAGGTAGGTAGGTGGGTAGGTAGGTAGGTAGGGTAGGGTAGGGTAGGGTAGGGTAGGGTAGGGTAGGGTAGGGAGGTAGGTAGGTAGGTAGGTAGGTAGGTAGTAGTAGTAGCAGGAGTAGTAGTAGTAGTAGTAGTAGTAGTCGTCGTCGTAGTAGTAGTAGTAGTAGAAGTAGTAGTAGTAATAATAATAGTAGTAGTCGTAGTAGTAGGAGTAGGAGTAGTAGTAGTAGTAGTAGTAGTAGTCGTAGTAGTCGTAGTAGTAGGTGTAGAATTAGTAGTAGTAGTAGCAGCAGGAGGTGTAGTAGTAGTGGTGGTGGTGGTAGTAGTAGTAGTAGTAGCAGTAGCAGTAGCAGTAGCAGTAGCAGTAGCAGTAGCAGTAGCAGTAGCAGTAGCAGTAGTAGCAGT